ATCAACAAAATAGACTGCTGGCCAGATTAATAAAAAAGAAAAGAGAGAATAATCAAATAGATGCAATAAAAAATGATAAAGGGGATATCACCACCAATTCCACAGAAATACAAACCACCATCAGAGATGACTACAAACAACTCTGTGCACATAAACCAGTAAGCTTGGAAGAAATTAATAAATACATGGACACCGTACCCTCCCAAGCCTAAACCAGGTAGAAGTCAAAACCCTGAATAGACCAATGACAAGGGGTGAAGTTAAGGCAACAATTAATAGCCTACCAACTAAAAACAGCCCAGGTCCAGACGGGTTCACAGCTGAATTCTACTAGACATACAAAGAGGAGCTGGTTGCACTCCTTCTGAAACTATTCCAATCAATCCAAAAAGAGGGAATCCTTCCCAAATCATTTTATGAGACAAACATCATCCTGATACCTAAACCTGGCAGAGACTCAACAAGAAAAGAAAACTTCAGGCCAATATGCATGATGAACATAGATGCAAAGTCTTCAATAAAATACTGGCAAACTGATTGCAACAGCACATCCAAAAGCTTATCCATCGCAATCAAGTAGGCTTTATCCCAGGGATGCAAGGCTGGTTCAACATATGCAAGTCTATAAACCTAATTCACCACATAAACAGAACCAAAGAAAAAGCCACATGATTATCTCAATTGATGCAGACAAGGCCTTCGACAAAATTCAACAGCCCTTTATGCTAAAAACTCTCAGTAAACTAGGTAACAGTGAAACATATCTCAAAATAATAAAAGCTATTTCTGACAAACTCACAGCCAATATCATACTCAATGGGCAAAAACTGGAAGCATTCCCTTTGAAATCTGGCACTAGACAAGGATGCTCTCTCTCACCCCTCCTATTCAATATAGTACTGGAAGTTCCAGCCAGAGCAATCAGGCAAGAAAAAGAAATACAGGGTATTCAAGTAGAAAAGGAGGAAGTCAAATTGTCTCTATTTGCAGATGACATGATTGTTTATTTAGAAGACCTCCTTGTATCAGCCCAAAATCTCCTGAAACTGATAAGCAACTTCAGCAAAATCTCAGGATACAAAATCAATGTGCAGAAATCACAAGCATTCCTATACACCAATAACAGACTAACAGAGAGCCAAATCAAGAGCAAACTCCCATTCACAATTCCTAGAAAGAGAATAAAATATCTAGGAATACAACTAAAAAAGAATATAAACGACCTCTTTAAGGAAAGCTATAAACCACTGCTCAAGGAAATAAGAGAGGACATAAACAGATGGGAAAACATTCCATGCTCATGGCTAGGAAGAAACAATATCATGAAAATGGCCATACTGCCCAAGGTAATTTATAGATTTAATGCTGTCCCCATCAAGCTACCACTGACCTTCTTCACAGAAATGGAAAAAACCACTTTAAACTTCATATAGAAACAAAAGAGAGTCCAAATAGCCAAGACAATCCTAGGCAAAAAGAACAAAGCTGGAGGCATCACACTACCCGACTTCAAACTATACTACAAGGCTACAGTAATCAAAACAGCATGGTACTTGTACCAAAACAGAGATAATAGACCAATGGAACAGAACAGAGGCCTTGTAGGCAACCCCACCCATCTACAACCATTTGATCTTTGACAAACCTGACAAAAACAAGCAATGGGGAAAGGATTCCCTGTTTAATAAATGGTGTTGGGAAAACTGGCTAGCTATGTGCAGAAAGCAGAAACTGGACCCCTTCCTCACACATTACAATAAAATTAACTCTAGATGGATTAAAGACTTAAGACCTAATACCATAAAAACCCTAGAAGAAAATCTAGGCAAAACCATTCAGGACATAGGCATAGGCATGGAATTCATGACTAGAAAACCAAAAGCACTGGCAACAAAGCCAAAATAGACAAATGGGATCTAATTAAACTTCAGAGCTTCTGTACAGCAAAAGAAACAATCATTAGAGTGAACCGGTAACCAAGAGAATGGGAAAAAAAATCTGTGCAATCTACCCATCTGACAAAGGGTTAATGTCCAGAATCTATAGAGAACTAAAGCAGAACTATGAGAAAAAAATAAACCCATTCAAAAGTGGGCAAAAAATATGGACAGACACTTTTCAAAAGAAGACATATATGAGGCAAATAAATATATGAAAACATGCTCATCATCACTGGTCATTAGAGAAAGGCAAATCAAAACCACATTGAGATACTATCTCATGCCAGTTAGAATGGTGATCATTAAAAAAATCTGGAGACAACAGATGCTGGAGAGGATGTGGAGAAATAGGAACACTTTTACACTGCTGGTGGGAGTCTAAATTAGTTCAGCAATTTTGGAAGACAGTGTGGCGATTCCTCAAGGACGTAGAAATAGAAATTCTATTAGACCCAGCAACCCCACTACTGGGTATATATCCAAAGGATTATAAATAATTCTGTTATAAAGACACATGCACATGTATGTTCATTGCGGCACTGTTAACAATAGCAAAGACCTGGAACCAACCCAAATGTCCATATATGCTAGACTGGACAAGAAAAATGTGGCACATATACACCATGGAATACTATGCAGCCATAAAAAATGATGAGTTCATGTCCTTTGTAGGGACATGGATGAATCTGGAAACCATCATTCTCAGCAAACTGACACAAGAACAGAAAATCAAACACATGTTCTCACTCATAGGAGGGTGCTGAACAATGAGAACACATGGTCACAGGGAGAGGAGCATCACCCACTGGGGTCTTGGCGGAAGCTAGGGGAGGGACATCGGGTGGTGGGGAGTTTGAGGAGAGATAACATGGGGAGAAATGCCAGATATAGGTGACAGGGAGATGGAGGCAGCAAACCACCTTGCCATGTATGTACCTATGCAACAATCCTTCATGATTTACACTTGCACCCTAGAACCTAAAGTATAATTTAAAAAAAATGATAAGAGCAATGGTTCACAAAGTTCTCAGTTTGAGAAGAGAAAATAGTTCCATAAACCAGTGGAGTTAATGGTTACACAATGTGAATGTAGTTAATGCTACTGACCTGTATGCTTGAAAATGATTACAATGGTAAATTTTGTGTTATGTATGTTTTACCACAATAAAAAAATGTTTTTAACATTACAAAAAAAACCCCAAAATATTATAATGAAACAAGCCAGAAATTTTATGAGTTCATTGGGACGTATAAGACATAAAAGTTATGTAATATAATTATTAAAAATATATTTGTATATATTCATGTAGAACTGACCCTTTTCTATTATAAGACCATTTCATAGAAAAATGGTCCACAAAATTTTACTGATCCTTCTCCCCCATAAAAAGGGATTTTCTTTTTTTTTTTGCTTAAATCCTGTCCTGTCAATTTTAAAAGGAAGGAAAAGGGCTTAGAAACCTATATTGCATTATTTATATTTTTCTGTGTCTTTAGAAGTACTATGCCATGTAATAAACCTTTCTTTAATACTATCCTAAAGAATGATTTTCATCTTTGCACACCTATAGGTAGTCAGAAACCATGTGCTGTAAATGTTAAAATCAGATCTATACTTTTGTAACTGAGATGCCAAAGACACATGAGCTCAGTTTTATAATTTATCCAATGGCTTGATAAAAGCTAATTCCCCATCTCTAATCTCTACAGAGAGGCATATACAGAAATGAAAGAACACAGAATATTGGTCATATACTACTATAAAGATGGCAATAAGGTCGAATTCTTTTACTATCTTTTCAATAAGGGAGGTCTCTCTGGGTGGTAATCCTACCTTTTATCTGATAGTAAAAGGAATAATATGTGTACCTTTCAGTGAGATGTCACGTCAACCTCATTATGGGACTATGTAATCTTAGAAAATTCAAAGAGAAAGCAAGAGACAAAGAAAAAGCAAGAGGGAATACTCTGTACAGAGTCACATAGATATTCATTTGACAAATATATTTATAATGAGAACGTTAATCATGAGAGCTGCTCGGCAACCTTTTCTCAGAAATAAAAACATAATACCACTTAATCTTTCTAGTTTTAACAAGTAAGAAGATCATCTACAGGTTCTCTAAATAAAGCTTTCAACGCCAGACAAGACCTCAACTTCAGCAAGAATACAGTAGCTTGGTATTTACCAAAGAGAAATATTATGGGGTCTGTATGCTTTCTCTTTTTCTTAATTTTATTTAAAAAGTGAATGTATCTATAAATGTTCTATAGCTTGAGACCTCATTATTTCAGAGATCAGCAAGTTAAACACTCTCAAAAGAGATATATTATTTAAGCTTTGGGAACTCCCAGGCTGCAAGCATTTTCTATAATAGGTTCATGAAATGAACATACTTGACTCAAGCCCTATTCTCAAAAATAATACAATTATAGAAATTCAAAATAAATTAAATGTCTTCATATGTAATGTCCATACTTGAATCAGATTACCACCTGCCTGCTGTGTCTATGCTAACTAATCAGATAACATTTTCTCAAAGATGGTTTCCCACCATCCCCAATAAAAAGCAGTACCCTATTTATTTTTTATAACAAAAACAAAACCATCATTCTGTTTCAGCATCATTCAAAACACGTTTAAAAAAATCACGTTTTGTGTCAAATACATATATTAAGATGCTTCCAAAAGAACTCCAAAACAAACAAGACAAAAGTAACTCTTGTATTTCCTATTTCCTACAAGCCTAAATTCCAACCCCCCCCCCAAAAACAAAAACAAAAACAAGACCTTAAATTGAAGGATTATAATACATTATCAGTTTTAGAACCAATTATATATTTAAAAAAAAAAAAGCTTACTAGAAATCACTTTGGCAAATGGTCAAAAGCCCATTTTAAAACTTCCCTTTATATCAGGTGCTTACTCAATTTCCTCAGCCTGCGACTCCATATTTTTATATTTGAAATCGGTTTTCTTTGTTCATTGCAACTACTTATTAGTGAACTGAAATTATCTACGTGGCAACAAACAGCTCCCTTGAGAGTTTGGATACATACCCAAAGCTGCTACTTTGATGATCACTGCTTGAATGTTACATGATATCATTTCTCTGAGCAAATCTTCCTGGTTTCTCTGCCAAAGGTAGGCTAAAGGCTGGAGATTAAGCCTTGTACACCTACGAAATTAAAATAAAAAGAAAGTCAGATGTTATCTTAATGTTCTATACTTGGATCCACAGCAATTACTTTGATTTGAAACGTAACGCTTCTTTCAAGGATTTTAGCATTGAAAATGCTTTTAAAAACGTATTTTGCATAATGAAGTTTAAATATACAACATAAACATATTTAATTTCCATGGGCTATGCATAAGCTGATAAAAATGAAATTTCCAGGCACACTAGAAATATTAATTTTGGTAAGGCTCTAAGTTTAGAAATCTATGTAAAAGAGTTTACAAATGCCAGTATGTTCTCATTTTTAAAACTTCTGTCGGTATCAAAATTTTGAAGCATATGCAAAGTGGGCAAATGATTTATCCTAATAAAATTACCAAATATTGATTAAATTAATAATAACTATGGTTATGTGGACTACTCTTAATCTACTAACTTTAATATTTTTTTTTTGAGATGGAGTCTCACTCTGTCGCTAGAGTCCAGTGGCGCAACCTGGACTCACTGCAACCTCCACCCCAAGGTTCAAGTGATTCTCCTGACTCTGCCTCCCAAGTAGCTGAGACTACAGACACATGTCTCCATGCCCAGCTAATTTTTGTATTTTGGTAGAGACGGGGTTTCACCATGTTGGCCAGGATGGTGTCAATCTCCTGACCTCATGATCCTCCCACCTTGGCCTCCCAAAGTGCTGGGATTACAGGCGTAAGCCCTGTGCCTGGCCATGAATTTTTTTTTTTAAGAATTTGACTCTGAGTAAAAAGGAAATACTAAGAAAAAAAAGTATAATTTATTAAGTTTCTAACATGCTGCAGGCATTATACTAGATATTTTCCATTATTGGTACAGCAGAACAAATAAAAGGTTTTGGAGTGAAGACACATATGGATTTGAAACCTCATTTTGTACTCTAGCTGCATGGCTTTTGAAGTCAAGTAAAATATAAGTCTTTGTGCTTAATTTACTAGTTTATAAATAGGGGCAAAAATACTTCCTTTCCAAGTTCTTCATAAGATTAAAAAATAAGAAAATGAAATAATCCTTTCCTTTCCTTCACACTCCATATCCAATCTACCACAATGCAGAATGTAATCATTCCTCATCAATACCACTGCTAACAACCTGGTCTGAGCCACCATTCTCTCTCATGTCAACATTCTAATTTCCTTCCCTGCTTCCACTGTCATCCTTTTAAAATCAATTTTCAATGAATTTTGGAAAGCAGCCAATGTGATCCTTTTAGGACGTAAAAGAGATCATAGGATTCCTCTGCTCAAAACCCCTCCAGTGGCTCCCCATCACTCCATGATCTCACCCTGGTTAGTTCATGCACTTTATCTCCTACTACTTACTCTCTTCTCACTCCATCCTATCTCCTGGGGCCAGCTTACTCTGGCCTGTTATATTAGTTGTGTTATCACTTCTTTCATGCCTTTGCTTAAACGTCACTTTCTCAGAGAGGACTATAATTGTTTAATCAATTAAAGGTAATATAGATAAATAATGTAGCAAATGCCTGATAATATAGGTATTCAATAAATGATAGTCAAAGCCAAATGACTTGCCCAAGTCATACAGTAATTGGCTGGGATCAGATTTCAAACCAAGAATATAGCTCTAAAACCCAGAGTCTGTAAGTGTTTACAAGTAAAACCCATTGTTCCTAGCATCTGTAAGGTTGCTTGTCCAGCTACTCTAACCTATACTGATCTCTCTCTCAGAGATTCCAATACTTATTATATGTACCACGTTTGGTCATTTACTCATACATGGCCTTAGAAATACCACTATTTTTTTCATTTACATATACCCTGACTTTCAAAAAACCAAAACCTTCCTCATTGCAGAGACTGTTGCATGTAATTTTTCCCTTTTAAAATGTCTCAGAGCATCTAAAGCAATGCTGAGGCAGTTGATAAATACAAAAATAACAAAATGTGAACTACCCATGGAATACAAACACTAGTTCTTGCTGTCCTCTCATCCAGTGTTTAATGCCTACTAATCAATAGCCTCTCTACCTTTTTAAACTAAGATTTACTTTTTACTAACAAAAAAGTTTTTCTTCCTGTCCTTATTGCAAAATTTGAGGTTGTTTCTTTGAAATTCCTCAAAATCTCTGGACTATATATAGACTTAAGTAAAAATTTTCAACCTATTTAAGATCTTTAACAGTTCAAAATATCATGGCTCAAATAAACTTACTCTGTAAATCACCGCTGAATTTGCATTTGTAACATCTATTAAACACTTTAGATTCTAAAATGATAGTAATACAAAACAAACTACAAATTGGGCATAAGCTAATTCAAAATTGAGTTTGTCGAGAATGGACTCCCAGTAACATTACTTTTGAAATTTCAAGAATAAAATTACTGCAGATATGCTTTATAATATAAAATCTGTTCATCTGTTCAACCATGTGTTGAAGTGTACCTGAGACTGTGTTTTGAGAAAGTCTCTACCCATGGGCATGACATGTGCCCTTCTGTACATATACATGTAATGGGCAGCCTCTTAATCAGGAGCACATTTTTATTTGGCTTTTTAACTTTCACAAATAGATGTCAACCCTGTCTCCAGTTTGGCTACCCATTAAATCATGTGGGTTTGACTTATTAAAAGACACAAATTTTAAAATTAAATAATTCTCAGAGAAAAGGATCTAAAACTTGATGAAAATACTATTATTTCTAATATATCGCTTAATATGCAATCCATCTCCATCTGCAGATCAGCTGTTCTACAAAGTAGATCTAGGTAGATTGCAAGGAAAATTTTCTCAAAATGCATATGCTTGACCTTCTTCCCCACTCCACCATCATCATCCATGGTCCAGAAATTCGGACATACCACTAAAATGTAAGATCATATTTCTCTTCATTTAACTATGCTTTACCCTGTTTTCCCTTCATTCACTCTTAAAATTCTATATTTTTTTAACTGCCTGAAATCCACCATGGAATTAGAGAGAAAATATAAAATGAAAATAAAACAAGTTTTCAAATCTATTAATATGTAGGTCTTAAATGAGATAGTCAATAGGAATGTTATTTATCAAGAATATAAAATATTATATAAATACAGCCATTATCTTATTCAATTTACCCTTTTGACTAGCAAAATCATTTATTTGCTGGTCAAATTGTACTTAAGAAAAATACTGGAGTTCAATTGTCTTTGTTAATATAATTATGCCCAGAATCTCTATACAATATTGTATTTATCTAAATAAATTAAAAATGAAAAGTAAATTCATTCATCTGGTATCTTGTCAGGCCAACATTAAATAACCAATATTATCATTTAACCTCATGATTTTTGAATAGATCAATAGAATTGACTGTTTTGCTATGTGCAGCTACATACTTCACTAGTGCTCCCTCCCTTAGAGGAGTGAAGAGGGACTAGGAGGAGGGGAGCAACATCCTAAACTTCTTGAAAGTTAAATGGCTAATATATATAAATATTTCAATCACGTAAGTATTTTTGGACAAGAATTGAATTATATGAAGCAAAGAGGAGATGACTCCTTAGTATTTTTTTCTCTAAAATACTACTGTATTCTTATTATCTATTGATTTTTATTACAAATGATGAGTTAAAAGAGATTAACAGGATATACCAAATCAAATAAGGTAAAAATAATACTTCTCACTAAAAACTGTCTCAATTCTATTTAATATTATTTTTCCTTACAGTAAATAAGTGTTCTCTAAGTGACATAAGGATAGAAAAAAGTAAAAGCATGACTTTTGTTATTTAGGTGAATATATACATTTAGTTCCATGGAGCATGTAGAATACCATACCTATTTATTATTTAAATATAATTACTGACTTTTCATTTATCCATATTCTTAAAATATATACACTTTTAAAATTAGCAAATTAATGTTTTCTTACACATTTTCCACTCGAACACGCTGATAGTCAGAAAGTATAGCACCTACTGATATCCCCTCTATTTCTTCTTTTTCCTGAAAATAAAGAAAAACACCCATAACTTTAAAAATAAAGTAACAATTGCTCCACATCATGCTCTGAAAATTATAAATGAACTGTGTCTCATCTAGAAGACTACCTAAAAGAAGAGTAATTTACTGAAAACATAGTCAACATTCAGAAAAAATTTACATATATTTAAATCATTCTCTCAACTGTGAGAAAAATAATTATGGTTTTACTTAAAATTTAAATAATGAGAGATCCCTCTCCATGGAGAAAGCAAAGACTTAGGCAGCACTTCCAAAATGTTTCACACTTAACATATTTTTAAAGACTCACTGATGTTCGATAGAAGCGTTTGAGAAAATTCTATTTAAGGACAATATTTCCCCAGATTGAGTAACTTCTTTTAATTGAAAATTAAAATTTTTTTAAGTTAAGAAATTTAAAAATTAAGCAGTGGCATAAATATGTAAGAGAGTACAATTTTTATCTAAATCTTAGAAAAAAATATTTGAAATAGGAGTATCCAGAAACCAGAAATAGTAGTATCCAGAGTAGCGGCATTACCTGGATAACAATATAACACAGCAGATAAAGAATTCTATCATGCGAAAGAAGCAGTGAGTTACTGTCCACATGGTTGCACCAAGAGCATCCAGCAGTATATCCAGCATGGTCCCACAGGAATGACAACTATTCTGTCTAGCATACTCATTAACGAGCTACAGGAGAATGTAAATTCAAGTATGATCAAGTTTGCAGATGATACAAAGCTAGAATGGATTAAAAATAAAAGAAAAGAAGATTAATCAAGTACATGGATGGATTATGGACAGCTTGAGAATTTGAAAGGACAGGTCCAAGATGAGATTTAATGTAAAGAAGTATAAGATAATACACTTAGGGAAGAATAATACACAATAGGCGTATAAACTAGGGAACTGTTATCTTCGTATCTAGAAAACAGATATGAAGGAAGTGACTAGGGGGTAATTATTAATAAAAAACTGAATAGAAATTCTCTGAATAGGTATAAAAGAAAATCCATCCTAGCCTATGGATGTACAAAAGAAGCTACTGAGAGATCGCTTCATTATGAATACTCTGGTCTTACCAAACTTGGACAATGAGAAAGAAAATGTGTTTCACAGAAAACAAACGTTAGTATTTCAAGACATACTAAAATAACCCTGTGTACCCTAAAAGAATGCCATAATAAATAAACAAAAACATGCAAAAGGAATATTTAGTGTCTTTAAAGCCTATTCAAAATTTGCCCTCCAAAATGATGGAGCAATACCTGTCCAAATCACCCCAAAATAAAACAATTATTTTTATCAGATAAGGTCTCAGGAAAAGAGCTATTTCCTTTACTTTCTTATTTGAGCAACTTTGTGAGAACATTTGCTTATAACCTTTCCCTAACCTTCCTAGCACTTTTTTTCATAAAGTAATTGTACTCATTAGAAAAAGTCATGGCATAGAGTTCTTTATCAAATGCACATACAGCATAGATCAGAGTTGTTGACTAATGTTATCAAAATTTTAGTTATATCCCTGCATCATATAGATGTTTATCTGCAGTTTTGTTTGTTATAAAAATAATGAAACATTAAATACTGTAGATTTATACAAGTGTATATATATTTCTCTAGAGATCATGGAAACAAAGAAAATAGCCACTGGTATTTCCTTCCTTAAGTCAAAGCCCTATTAAAATAAGAATTGGAATTTACTATTCATTTGCCATGCACTAATGTGATATGATTTTTATTTAATGCTTACCACAATCCTAAAACAATTTCTTCTTTGTATACATGCATTCTGTGGAATTTTCTTCTACTCCCATCTATTTCATTTATTTGTTTATTTTGAGACAAAGTCTCACTCGCTGTTGCCCAGGCTGGAGTGCAGTGGTGCGATCTCAGCTCTGGGTTCCAGCGATTCTTGTGTCTCAGCCTCCAGAGAATCTGGGACTACAGACATGTGCCACCATGCCTGGCTATTTTTTTCTATTTTTAGTAGAGATGGGGTTTCACTGTGTTGCCCACGCTGATCTTGAACTCCTGGATTCAACTGATCTGCCTGACTTGGCCTCCCAAAGTGCTGGGATTACAGGTTTGAGCCATCTATTTTTTATTTGATAACACTTCACTATTCAGCACTAAGTAAATTCTGACTATTCTGCAACACTGAACCTATACATAGATCATTAGTTGTATTTGTTCAATAATTTTTTTTTAGGCCTCCTGGGTTCAAGTGATTCTTGTACCTCAGCCTCCCGAGGAGCTGGGATTACAGGTGTGTGTTGTGTCACCAATTCCAGCTACTTTTTGTATTTTAGTAGAGACAGGGTTTTGCCATGTTGCCCAGGCTGGTCTCAAACTCCCAACCTCAAGTGATCTGCCTGCCTTGGCCTCCCAAAGTGCTGGGATCATAGGTGTGAGCCACAGTACCTGGCCCAATAATTACACTTACTATTGCCTGATAGAAATTCAGCCCTCTTACTTACTAGCTCTGTGCTTTTGAATGCTACTGAATTTCTCTGTGTCTGTTTCCTCATCTATAAAGTGAGGATAAAAAAAATCAGTTCTTGTTTTCTAAGGTTATTGTGGAGATTAAATAAAATAATTCAGGCAAATAACACAGTATCCAGCACCTATTAAACATTCAGCAAATATTTTCTTCTTTCATTATTATGATCTTTACTATTCCTATTACTTCGGTAACTACCTGTGTTACTACTTCTAATATTATCACTATTGACTACTACTACAGTCATCCCTCAATATCAGCAGGTGATTGTTTCCAGGAATCCCCCCACAAATCAAAATCCACAGATTCTCAGGTCCAGTACATAAAATAGTAAGGTATTTGCATACAACCAAAGCATGTCCTTACATAAACTTTAAAGTGTCTGTATTATCTATAATACCTAGTACAATGTAAATACTACATAAATAGTTGCTATACTATATTTTCAAATTTTTATTTTTATTTTTTATTAGATTTTCCTCATAATATTTTTGATCTACAATTGGTTGAATCCATGGATGTGGAATCCATGGATACACAGGGCTGACTGTACTGCTTTCCAGCAGAGTGAGACCTGAATAATACAGGGATAAGAAAGATTTCTGCTGATTCCTTAATCATGATGAATGCAACTACAAACTTCAAATAAAGAACCAAATACATATTTAAAAGATAAAGATCTACCACATAGTCAATCCACTCCTTAGAAAAAACATAGCTAGGCTCAGGTTCTGATCCCTAACCCACCTTATTTAGGAGAAAAAGTCGGTAAACAAACAATAGCAATGCAAGTGTCAGCAGAGAAAGAAAGAGAATGACTGCTAACAAAAAAGATACACTGAGACAGCATAAAGAAAGCCAAATGAATCACCTGTGTCATAGTTGAAATAAAAATAAATATGCTACAGGAAGTTAGTAATATAGACTCTGGGACCCTATCCTTACACATTTTTTAAACCAACTCAACTGAAGGTATGATCATGTATAATAAACTGCATACCATTAAAATGAACAATTCAATGATTTTGGATTGAAACTAGGTACCATAATCAAGATAGAGATAATTTCAGTTATTCCCAAACACTTCTTTGTGCCCTTTGCAGCCCAACTCTCCCTTCGACCCTGGACAGAGATAACGAGAGGACTGTTGCATAGGTAGCTAAATGGCAATGTGGTTTGCTGCCTCAATCACCCTGTCACCTATATCTGGCATTTCTCCCCATGTTATCCCTCCCCAACCACTCTAACCTCACTGTCCCTCCCTTGTTCCCCCACAACAGACCCCAGTGTGTGATGTTCTCCTCCCTGTGTCCACGTGTTCTTATCGATCAACACCTGCCTATGAGTGAGAACATGCAGTATTTGATTTTCTGTTCTTGTGCCAGTTTGCTGAGAATGATGGTTTCCAGATTCATCCATGTCCTTACAAAGGACATGAACTCATTGTTTTTTATGGCTGCATAGTATTCCATGGTGTATATGTGCCATATTTTCCTTGTCCAATCTATCATTGATGGACATTTGGGTTGGTTCCAGGTCTTTGCTATTGTTAACAGTGCCGCAATGAACATACATGTGCATGTGTCTTTATAACAGAATTATTTATAATCCTTTGGATATATACCCAGTAATGGGGTTGCTGGGTCAAATGGAATTTCTATTTCTACGTCCTTGAGGAATCGCCACACTGTCTTCCAAAATCGCTGAACTAATTTAGACTCCCACCAGCAGTGTAAAAGTGTTCCTATTTCTCCACATCCTCTCCAGCATCTGTTGTCTCCAGATTTTTTAATGATCGCCATTCTAACTGGCATGAGATGGTATCTCAATGTGGTTTTGATTTGCCTTTCTCTAATGACCAGTGAGGATGAACATGTTTTTACATGTTTGTTTGCCTCATGTATGTCTTCTTTTGAAAAGTGTCTGTCCATATCCTTTGCCCACTTTTGAATGGGTTTATTTTTTTCTCATAGTTCTGCTTTAGTTATTTGTAGATTTTGGATATTAGCCCTTTGTCAGATGGGTAGAATTTTTTCCCATTCTCTTGGTTGCCATTCACTCTAATGATTGTTTCTTTTGCTGTACAGAAGCTCTGGAGTTTAATTAGATCCCATTTGTCTATTTTGGCTTTTGTTGCCAATGCTTTGGTGGTGTTGTCACAAATTCCTTGCCTATGCCTATGTCCTGAATGATTTTGCCTAGGTTTTCTTCTAGGGTTTTTATGGTGAAGGTCTTATGTTTAGGTCTTTAATCCATCTGAAGTTAATTTTAGTGTAAGGTGTCAGAAAGGGGTCCAGTTTCTGCTTTGTGAACATGGCTAGCCAGTTTTCCCAACACAATTTATTAAACAGAGAATCCTTTCCCCATTGCTTGTTTTTGTCAGGTTTGTCAAAGATCAAATGGCTGTAGATGTGCGGGGTTTCCTCCGAGGACTCTGTTCTGTTCCACTGGTCTATATCTCTGCTTTGGTACCAGTATCATGCTGTTTTGATTA